TAGCCAGCCATGCTCAATATGGCTGGCTGGGGAATTCTGGGAGTTGAGGTCCACACATCTTAAAGTTGCCAAAGTTGAGAAACACTGTTTTAAGCTCAGGGTTGTGCATTCTTGTAAACTTAGCTCAAAAATAATTTCTGCCTTTTACTCTGCAATGCTGGTAAAGATAAAGACTTTTGTTAGTGGATCATATGCGTGTGACATTGACTGTTTCCAGGAAAGTGGATTTTTTTTTATTTTGTTTTACAGACTACTCTACAGCCCTCAGATTTGGTGAGTGCCTCCCATCCAAGTCATAACCACATTTGACCCTGGGTATTTTTTTCCAGATTAGCCAAAGCAAGCTAGGTGAAGGAATGCTTTTCCAGGTGTATTGCACAAATGAAGCCCTCTTCTCTGAAGCATTAAAGAAGCTGCCTCTTCCCAAAGCCTTTGTGTGGCTTCTTCAAAGGCTTCTCTTGTCTGTTTGCAGCCCTTCACTTCAAAGGCAACAGGGGAGAAATGTACTTTCAGACTTGCAAGATTCGGTTAATGGAACTTTACAATAAAGTGGAATTAGTTCATCTGGGTGTGCTTCCTGTCTGGACTACCTACCTCACAGGGCTGATATCAATCTTGTAAGTCTCCCCCGTCACCCAAGAAACTACAGAGGGTTCCTTCTGACATCTGCCACACCCCTATTCCTTCTGTGGGCTCAGCTGCCTTTCATCCAACTGTTCCCTTGGCTGTGGCTCTTCCTCCTGCCTCCCAAGGTCATTCTCACATACCATTACAGATATATTCTGAGCCTTCTTTTTAATCAAGCACAAGTTCAACAGCAGCACAACAGAATGGTTAGTGTTAGACACGGCTGAATGAGCCACAATGGGTCTACACCCAGACATTAAGCCATTGCCATGATATACAAAAACCCAGCTTTCACATGCTGTTAGAGACACAATATTGATACACCTACATCTGCATTGTCAGTACTAGCTAAAAGCAGCTCTCCATGTTTTCAAACAGGAAGTACAAGAAACTCAGCCTGTGACTTTTTGCATTCAAAGTAGGCCCTACCATTCTGCTCACTGCCTAAATTCTGCTACAAAAGGTCTTCCAATCATAGCAATTACCAGGGCTATCAGATCTGGCTGCAAACTCTAGATGTCCACTAGGTCATCTCAAGATACAGAAAACTCAGTCTTATTTCCCATCTAGTGATAATCCAATTTTTGCAACCCATAACTGGTAGCTCTATGTTGACACATATCTACAATCTTTTACATATCTACTCAGGTGTAAATCCCATTGAGTGAAATGAGGCTTTCCCCCAGATAATTGGAAATAGGATCCCAATTATCTAGAAATAATCCTCATTGAGCTCAACATGATGTATATTATGTATCCAGGTTTACAAGCCTATCATTAACTTTGCTTAACTTTGTCTGGAGCACACCCAGTGCATACTATGAACTTACCTTCTGCTTCAGGTAGGTTGGATTGCTTTGATTTAGTTCACAATGAGAAATATTGCCTTGAACTATGAAGGTAGAGTTGATAGTTTCCTCCCAGATCCTCTTGTACACATACTGCTGCTTCAGAGGGGCGGTCACAGAATAGGCAAAAATATACAAGGAAATGGCAGGTTCTATTAACAATGTTTTCTTCATCCTTGAGGTTTTGCTTTAATTATAATTCGGGGAGAAAATAACATGTTATTGTTTTCAGAGGAAGAAAACAAGGCATGCATACCTTACAATTCACTGACAGTTCATTAATCAAATGATGGAAAACATGGCAGGTGACCCTATTTGGTGTTCCTTAATTCAAAGGGGTGTGGCCCATTGGCAGGCCATGATAAATGATGCAAAAGCCACATTCTGACGATGCTTTTCATTTTGCTTACCTGATACATTTATACATAATGTATTTCTCCCAAATACATTTGAGACACATTTAAGCTCATTTTAATTTCTACTGGATTATTTTCATTTTCAGCTTTTTGGTTTGTTTTTCTGCTGTTAGAAGCCTGATAGCCATTGTGAAGCTCAAAGAAAAAGAACTACTAAACTAAACTATTATAAACAAGTAAACAGCACTTTATACCGCGGTAAGCAAAGCAATGAAATGTGGGCTTATTCAATGTGCTGCACAGGTAATCCTTGTCTTACGACCACAATTGGGGCCAGAACTTCTGTCGCTAAGTGATGCGATCATTGAGTAAGTTGTGCCCAATTTTACAATATTCTTTGCCACAGTCATTAAGCAAATCTGGCTTCTCCCATTGACTTTGCTTGTCGGAAGCCCCTGGAAGGTCACAAATGGCGATCATGTGACCCCAGGATGCTGTAATTGTCGTAAATACTTGTCAGTTGCCAAGCACCCCAATTCTGATCACATGACCAGAGGGACGCTGCAATAATTGTAAGTGCAAGGACCAGTCATAAGTCACTTTTTTCAGTGCCATCATAACTTCAATTAAATGAATGGTTGTAAGTTGAGGACTACCTGTACTGAAGATGTTCCACAATCTTTCCATAAGCATCTTTACACTCTCTGGAGAAGAGTTCATTGCATTCCCATTTTTAATCCCTAGGAAATGCTGCTGAATTGACAAGATAGTTTAAAAAAAATATTGGAGTTTAACTTTAGAAAAAGAGGGAGTGCAGCAGCAGTGATGAGGACATAGAATGAAAAGTCTAGAGGTCTCAATCCCTCTCTCCCAGAAGCCCTAGCTCTACCACTCTCACTTTAATCAGCTAACTTTTAGGGAGCACTCCATCTAGTATCTTCTCCCTAGTCCTAGGGTTTGAAAGATACAGAACTCCTACACCCTGGACTGCTTCCAGAAATAATAATAATAAAAAAAGATTGATTATGTGCCATCAAGTAGTTGTTAACTCCTAGCAACCACATAGATAGATTTTCTCCATGATCTGTCCCTAACCTGGTCTTTCAGGTTTTCCAAAAGTTCAGAGGGAGAGAAAGAGAAATAAGTGCTGCAGCCCCACAGGACCCTTAAAGTGATGTGATACCTCATGAATAAAATTAATAATTTGAGTGGTCTTAGGCTTGGAGAATTAAAAAAATGTACCATTTTATTATTAATAATGAAATTTAATCTATGTATCACAAGGGTTCTCATGCTTTGTAGTTCCACAACTGCCCACTGGGGCTTGTGCAATGCTCCCGCACTTCCTGTGCATGGCTGATCAGGTTTGTAAAAAATGTATGATGACCCATCTAAGTTGTGTGGGACCATCTGGAGGCCAGATCCATAGTTTCAGAACCCCTGCTTTAAATAAAGAGCCAAAATATGCATGCCTATACAGCCAAAAGCTAATACATTCCTCTTAATCCCACCCCAAATCATCCCTTCCCTTTTCCCCGAGATGAAGTTTTGTTCTTCTTGTTTACAGCTACAAAGTAGTAGAGATAACAGAATACTAAAAACCGTCCTCTGTTGCTCCCGTCTTGCAAAATAAACGTGCAGACTTTGCATGGTAGAACTGAGGAACCCGCTGCATAGATGTGGTCTTCTTCTATCAACGGACCAGCCGTGTTACAAACCTTAAGACGAAAGTGGTTCAGCTTGTGGTTACACAGAGCAGTTGTAGCTGGTACACTTTCAATATAAAACCACAGTGCTCCAACTTAAAATATGGTTTACGATCCAGTTAACACAATTGTTTTTCGGTTTATAAAATGCGGGATTTTGACTTTGCTGTACACCAGAGATGAAACGCACTGACGGTTTGAACCCCATCTTCAGTTTCACACAAACAGCCAGTCAGTAAGTACAAACTCATCTTGCCTCTCTCTCCCTGTGATCTTTTAAGAAGAGTGGGGAAAACATTCTTTGGATAGGCAATTTTAATGGCAGACAGCTACCTATATGGATACTGTGGTAGGAATGTTGTGCTGCTAGGTTCTTAATTTGTTATAATATCGTAAGGCTAAAGCGTGGTAAATCAAGCAGTGTACAAATAATTAAAATACATTTAAGTCCACCATCACAGCAGACAGGCCTCTTCTGCTGTTCTTCAGCAGAAATTGTTTTTAATGGTGCAAGGCTTCTGAAGATGAAAACTCTACCTACAATAGGTCTGATGACTGGCATGATTCTCATGATATATCGGGCACGTGGGAAATGTTTGTGAGAGATTTGACAAATTGAACTTTGGAGGCCAGGCCTGATACTTGATTATTTGACAGAGACTGGTCTTCTAAAGAAGGTGTGTTATTTGATGTGAATTACACAGCTTTGCCTGGAGCGTGCAGGTACAAAATTGAACAATGGATAAGCAACATCCACAACTTTAGTTTAGAGACATTTTATTTCAGAGGCTCATTCACCAGGATGAAGCTTTGGGCCCAAAACCACATTATCATGACACCTTGTTGGGCAGAAGCAAGCAGGAAATATGGCAAGATTTTGGGTAATGTGTGGTAGATAGGCAAGGATTTTAATTCCCAATTATTTAATAAAAGCAGTAAACAAAAGAACCAGTTTGGTCTAGTGGTTAAGGTGCCAGGCTAGAAACTCACAAGAGACTGAGTTCTAATCCTGCCTTGGGCATGAAAACCGGCTGGGTGACTTTGGGCCAGTCCCTCTCTCTCAGCCCAACTCACCTCACAGGGTTGTTGTTGTGGGGAAAACAGGAGGAGGAGAAAGTACTAGATTTGTTTGCTGCCTTGGGCATGAAAACCGGGTGGGTGACTTTGGGCCAGTCCCTCTCTCTCAGCCCAACTCACCTCACAGGGTTGTTGTTGTGGGGAAAACAGGAGGAGGAGAAAGTACTAGATTTGTTTGCTGCCTTGAGTTATTTATAAAAATAATAAAGGCGGGATTAAAAAAATCTAAAAAAACCCTTTCTATCACAGAAATTAGGAGTAACCAGGATTGGGATTCTGAGTAACATAACTGTGCCTTCAGTTTTGGTAGTGAAAAATTCCTAAACCCTGAATTTTTAAATCCTAAATATACTACTGGGTGCTTGTCTCTAATTAATAGATTTGGGGATCCTAACAAAATTGTAAAATTCTTCTATTATATTTGAAGATCTCTCTATCCCATGCTTTTGATGTCTATTGAGAGTATTTCTCTTTCCTCAAGCCTTCACCTGATATTACATATTGTATTATTTTCTATACTGCTTAGGAATAATTGTATTCATGAGCAACTTAAAACAGTTTAAAATAAAGAAATAAGCAGAAGTCTGATTTTTGTGCACCACAGCTGTAGAATTTTCTAGGAACAGGAGCTGCACATGATGTATTGCACAAGGCAAGGCAAACACTGGTTTCTTAGTCATCACATATCAAGAGGTTCTGCACACAAATCCTATGGACAGTAGCTTCTTCAAAAATATTTATTTCAGAAGATATTGGAAAAGATTTGTTCTTTCACAGGCAACACTGTACAGCTGAAGGTGCTAAGCAGCTAGAGAGAGTTTGGGCAACTTTACATAATTCTGTATCCTCACAACACACAGGAGCTTTGTCTCGTTTGTGGCTCTTACATAACAGGTTCAAGAGGCATGACATGAGTCAAGTCAGTGAAGGGGAAGCCCTAGTCCCTGAACCTGAAATAACCTTACAACAATCCCTTGCAGACGCCAGCGATTTCGGCTTCAGATCCCAACATTCTGCTGCCTGAGACATACGAGTCTAAGGAAATCCCCTCACAATCTGCGTCTCCACAGCTGGGCTGGTTGGGGATTACGGTTATTGTAGTCTAGCGCATTTGAAAGCACCAGATCCGGGAAAGCAAAGTGAAGACCCCCACTCCCACCCCCACCCCACCGCACACAGACGCATGCACAAGGGCACAACAGTTCCACAACTTTGGAACAAGGCTTAAATTAAAATCCAGATCCATGCGTGAGCGCAGCCGTAGTTACTTAGTTGGCGGAAAAATGAAAGGGGAAATGCGCCTACAGACAGCTTCGGTTTCGTGCATTTTCCCGGGGCGTACAACAATCCCGTGTTTTTAGCATACGTTGGCTATAAAAGCCTTATCCTGCCGAGGCGGCCAGAAGTTAACAATTGTCCCACGGTCCTCCTTTCCACCCCCTGCCGCTCACCTCCGAACGGGCGATTCCAAACGCTTCTGCGCTCTCACGCAGTTCAAGGAAGTGCGAGGGATCGCGAACCGAGAGAGGATGCGCTCGGCAGCGAAGGAGACCTATTGTGCCCGACGAACGGCAGGTTCCGCGCCGGCTCTTCCTCCAAGGATAGTTCATTGGGTCACCACTAGGGGAGCTCGGGGCGAGGAGCGCAGCGATTGCTGCACGAGATGTCACTCCACCAGCAGGCGGGCCGCCCCTCCGGCCGAGCCTTGCTTCTGCGCGTGACGCGGGGCGCGTGACGCGGCTTCCCGGGTGGCGGCGCGCGCCGGAGTTGCAACCCAGCGATCCGGGAGGCTGCGGCGGACGGGCGCAGCTTTGCAGGGAGAGTTGATAGGGTCAGAATTTCGTCTGGTGTTGAAATTAGGTTTATGATCTTGAGTGATTATTTTTTCTCGTACTTATACTCTCTGTATATTCTCAGTAGATTGCCTGGTTTTATACAATGGCCTGGTTCCTCTAATTATGAACAGATCGACAGTATCTTTTGTCAGCCAGAACCTTACTTGTCCTTTATAGTTTTCTATAGGATACCTTTTTTAAATTACTCTGCTATGATTTTAGCAGCACTATAGTTTTCTCTCTTTTGCCACTGAATATTTTTACCTATGACTACTTAAAGTTGAAAAGGGCATTTTACACTTTCTTTTTCTTTTTTTCAAAAATAAGTAAATTTTATTTGTTGCTTCTAAGATTGATTTCTCTCCAAAGGAAGGAGGGCTACTTTCCCTAATCACCTACGTCAAAGGTGTAAGGCTGAGAAGGTGGCACTATAGAATTGATTTATATCATCTTTTTCTTGCTATTTGCAGTAAGCCAAAGAGACTGAGGGATCTCTTTCTGTCTCACATGTCAGTATTAGCAAGGAGGACACTAGGTAAATGTAGTTATTTATTCAATCAGTTTATATGGCTGCTGATGTTACATATGTGATTCTGGTCAGCTAGCAACACATATATATGTGTGTGTATGTATATGTATTAGTAAAAGCATTAAACCTATAATGGTCACCAAGAACAAACCAACAAACGCTAAGCAGTAACAATAACATCTCTTGGGCCATCTAACTTCCTGACCCCCATGCCGTGGAGCACATCCAGGTCTTCAGCACTTTGTAAAAGGCTGGCAGGGTCAGGCCAAACTAACCTCTGGGATATGGTGTTCCAGAGGGTGGGCACTGCAACAGAAATAGCCCACTTCCTGGTCCCATTAGATTATATTCTTTACTGTAATTGAGGGGACCAGGAGCGTTCCCCGTCCTGTCAGACCTGGTCAGGTAGAAAGAACTGGGGAGAAGCGATCCTTCAAATAACAGCCTATGCCATGAAGGGCATTATAGGTGACAGCCAGCATCTTGACTTCCGTTTGGAAGCACACTGGAGCCAGTGCAGCTTGCGGAGCAGAGGTAACATGGGCAAACTGAGGTGCATCCATAACTCCCTCTGTGCTGCATTCTGGACTTCTTATAACTTCTGGATGGTCTTCAAGGGCAGCCCCACATTCAACATGTTGCAGTAATCTTGGGAGGTGACTAAGGCATGAGTGACTGAATGGTGCTTCCTAGTCCAGGAAAGGGTGCAACTGGCACACAAAACAAAGTTGTGCAATAGCTGCCCTAGCCACAACTGCCACCTACTCTTTGAACAGGAGCTGTGACTCCAAGAAGCCCCCTAGATTGTGTGCCAGTTCTGTTTGGGTTAGTGCAATCCCATGCATAACCAAAGATGGAAAAATACTGGATGCAGGGGGCCCTAAAATCCAAAGCGCTCAGTCTTGTCAGGTTGAACTGAAGCCTGATCTTTCCATCCAAGCTGCCACAGACACAGACAGCCTCCTCTGTGTCACCTGGAGGGTGGAGATATAGAGCATGTCCCATGCTGATCAATGACCTCACCCAATAGCTTCATGTAGATGTTAAATAGGAGTGGAGAGAGCATCAAGTCCTGAGGGACCCCACAGAGAAAGGGCCACCCGTCCCGTTGAAGATATATGGTGGTCGCAATAAATACCAATCAGCTACCCAAGGTGAGGAGGTAAGCTAGGGTGTGCAAAAACTTGGGAGCTTTTAGAAGAGGAGACATCTAACCTTTGACTGTGTGGGCTCAGCCTAACTGCCACACAAGCACTTATAACTAACAAACCTTCTCTTTTCTGTGACTCACATCTGTTTGTCTACTGGTTAACTATTAAATTTGTGTCTAGATATTGTAATGTTTAATATCCATTATTTACAAGGTTAGTCAACTTTGGCATCTATAAAACCAATAATACAGTTTGGTTCTGTTAAGAAAGTACCATTTCTGTTTCGCAAGTTCCAAAAGTGATAAAGTGAAAAACAACTAGACATTGTACACTAAGGATATATGTAGTACCATTTGATCACCAAATCTAAGAACTCAATTCTAGGTATTGGAGACAACATTTGTATACTTGTCACTCAGCACGGCTCCTCCTGAGATTTTTCCACTCAAAAGGAGCTCATTTTATCCCTGTATTTTGTAAAGTTTTGATAGATTAAGGTAATCTCCCAGCAATTCAAGTCTGCACTTTTAGAAACATTGACTTCCTTGAAGCTATTCTGTCTAAGGTCCTTATGGCTCTTCTTGCAATTCCAAGATGCAGTAAAAATGCTGTAGTTTATTTAGAGATGAATTTACTCTCCCTGAAAGCTAACGCTTGGTATCGACATTTCAACCTTTGGCTACATTTATCTTTTTCCCCAATAGGTCTGGCCCAATGTTCTTAGAAATCCCTTTAAGTCAACCTGAATTAAAAAAAAAAAAAAAAGTTCCTGATAAACTTCACTCCCTAGGATCCTCATTGGAGAGGCTTTGTTCACTAGGTCATGTAAACCACGTGTTCCCTCTACAGGGAATCCTGGACAACATTTTATTTATTCTATCCTTTAACTGGAAGGACAGTGCCAGCCAGAATATGCTGTCTGGCTGCCATTCTCCGCTGCAGTGCCGTTCCTTCAGGGACATCTGGTCTGCAGAGATCCTCACCCTGAAGCCAACTTGTACCACAGTCAGTTGGTCCTCATGAGAAGACTGCAGGAACTGAGGTTTTTGCAGTCGACTTGTGAGTTGAGCAGCTGGGAGCCGAGGGATTTCAGTCAAGCTCACAGCCTTTTTTTTTTTTTGGTGAAAGTACTTTTGAATAAATTGGAATTAAAATAGACAAATGAACTGGACCTTCATGGAATGTTTTTTGTTTACTATTAAAGAGTGCAGACAATCGGTAGATTTTACGAAACAAAAGATAAAGATGAGCCAGAGTGTGGTGTTGACTGTAACTACAGAGTGCCCTTTGAGACGAAAGTATTAAGGGCACAGGAAGACAAAATAGAAAAAACAAAGTGGGGGGGGAGCTTGCCTTTTACTCTCTTCCTTGCAATTGAGATACTTTCACTTTTGAATTACAATATTACAATGGCAACTACCAGAAAAGCAGGAAAAATAGCAGAAAGGAGAGGATCACTACAGCAACTGGCAGAGAGAGAAATTACACCAGATTTACTTCAGAAAATGTTTGAGGAATTGGGCAATACATTAGCTGAATCACCAAATACTAAATTGACCGCTTTTGAAAAAAGAATGGATCAAAGACTTGTAGAAATGAAAGGGGAGATGAAAGAAGAAGATGGAAAGCTCTGTAAAACAGGTGTCTAGAGATATAAAACAAATTAATGACAAAGTGGAAATTCTGGATTGGGATGAGGAGGATACCGAGGCAGAAATTGATAAGGTATATAGAATAAATGCAAGATTTGCAAGAATAAGAAATGTTCCAAGGAATGTCTTGGTTCACTTTGTCAGGAAGAAAACAAGAGAGGAAGTTTTGCAGCAGCATTTTAATACAAGGCTGAAGATTGATAATACAGCTGTGATTGTTCTTAAAGAAATTCCTATTAGAATCTTGTGTAAGAGAAAAGAGTATTATTTTTTGACTGACAGATTAAAACAAAAAGATTCCTTTTTGATGGGATAAATTGGAAGGTGTGATTTTTACTTTTAAACAGCAGAAGTTTCAACTGAATTCTGTCCAGAAGGTGAGGGAATTTCTAGAAAAATTTAAAGTGGAATTAGAGGAGTTTCAAATGGAGGTGTCAGTTGAGACTATACAAAAACGTCAGCAGGTGCAACAGGAAACTGAAAGGGATCATCCTGAACTAGGCACTATAGGTATCAATTTTTCTAAATTTTTGGCTTGATTATGGATTACAAATCCTTAATGTGGAATATAAATGGACCAAACCAAGAGAGCCAATTTGATCTAGTGGTTAAGGCACCAGTCTAGAAAGCAGGAGACTGTTGAGTTCTAGTCCCACCTTAGGCATGAAAGCTGGCTCAGTGACTTTGGGCCAGTCACTCTCTCTCAGCCCAACTCATCTCACAAGGTTGTTGTTGTGGGGAAAATAGGAGGAGGAAGGAGTATTCGGTATCTTTGTCACCTTGAGTTATTTATAAGAATAATAAAGAGATTAAAACATCTAAAACATCTAAAAAATAAATAATAAAATGCTCCTCAAAAGATATTTTGAAAATATTTCATTATTTGAAAAAGTTAAAACAAGATATAATTTGCTTGCAAGAGACACATGTTAGAAAAAAGGATATGAAGTATTTGATTTATAAAAATTAGGTGAAGAATTTATTTCAGCAGGAACTAAAAAAAAAAAAAAGGAGTTGTTTTGTATATAAATCCCCAACTAAACCCAAAACTTGTACTGACTGATAACCATGGTAGTTTTGTTGTGGCAGAAGTTAATTTGAATGGGACTAAGTCTCTGATATTGGGAATTTATGCCCCAAATGAGGATAAAGTACTGTTCTATAAAGGACTTATGGAGAGACTAATAGGTTTCTCTTAATGAAAATTGGTGTTTGATGGGGGATTGGAATGGAGTGATCTCCCCACAACTAGTTAGAACTTCTGAGAAAAATATTAAAATCACTCAAGACAAATTACGAAAAGTTTTCTTTGATTTGATGGACAATTTAGGGCTTGTGGACGTATGGAGATAGAAAAATGGCAATTCAAGAGACATTCAGAAAATGTATACCTACTTTTCTGAAAGTCATAGATATCCATT